AACCTCCAATGTTATCTAATGATATCTTAACACCAATGCTGTTCTAATATAATAACCGAATAATAGTTTCTAACTCTTCACAATTTACAATAAAGCTTGTCTCAAGATTTTTCAATCGCATTCCACATGACAGTCTCAAGATCTTATACACTAAATCGAAGAATCGTTGTCGGGTTCAGAAACATAAAACATAGAAAATGAGACCGAAATGGCACATGGGAAGTACGTTAATTAGATGCATGCTGTGACCGGCGACCCGTGACATCATCCACTGTTTTTTTTTTAATACGCGTTTGGCTATTTAAACCGGCTGCATGGATGGCGCAAATGAATAAATTATAATGTTATATGTCCTTTCCCATGTGCCATTTAAGTCTCAGCTTCTATGTTCTATGTTTCTGAACCCGACAACGATTCTTCAATTGAGTGTATACAGCTATTTCAAAAAATGTTGAATACTGAATAGTGCATTCCAAGACCGAAATGTATTGTGGGTCATAGGGACATTCTCTAAAGTAGGAATAATAATAATGATAATTTATTCTATTTTTATAGTGTATTCCATCTGTAACTGACAATATACTAACTCCATGTAGAAAGTCAATTGCTGTATATTTACTTTTTATTTCAAATTAACGAGACCCACAATGCCTTTTGGTCTTGGAATGAACTATTCAGTATGCAGTATTCAGTATTCAACCTTTTTTGAAATAGCTGTGTATAAGAAAAGTAAAAATAAATCGTTTTACTTCGACAAGTCGGTGAGTGGTTGCCCAAATCTCGTGTATTAAGCGCTCGACGTCCGCGGCAAAGACCTCATTCCTATATTGACAATACACCCATCAGCCATTCTCCGAACCCTCTCCCCCTATGGAAAACCCCATGCAACGTAGCCCTAACTTGATCCATGTTCCTGCGCGAGCGTTCTTAGCAAACAAAGAGACCATTGCCAAGGGCGCAAAAGGTCTCAAATGGGAAAAATTTACACTCATAGTTGTGAAAAGTACCATTTTTCCCTTGGAATCTAGCATTATCTTTGTTAGAAACAAGTTAGCCAAAGCCATGCAGTTTATCCGTAGTGCGCATGCATATATTTGAGCAATCAGCTGTCTACAAASTATCGCGGGCAGGCACAAATACGAGGCAATATTGGTCAAAAATGTAAACAAACAAATCCTTTTTCAAAATTGCCTCACTCTCATGCCCGCCCGCGATACTTTTGACAGCGATCTTCACATCTCAGAATCGGAATCCAACTTTTGGTYTGTAGTTACCAGTCCCTAAGCGTTTCATTAATAAACTAATGCCCAGTCCTTTTTGTTTTCTAAAATTATAACAAATTTGATTCGGTTCCTAAAACGTCATATTTCGGAAAATGTCGTCTCGGGTTTTTCGACAAAGATTTGGGCCAGTGCAATGACAGATATTCGATCTGATCTACTGGTTACCAGTTTTTTACGGCCGCAGCTCGTTACCAGTCTTATACGACCATAAATTATTACCAGTTTTGAACATCATTACCAGTCTTCTGCAGGCAATCATCACTCGTTACTAGTCTTCTATACGAACGACTCTCTATCCATTGATTCAACGATGGCTTCCAATCCAAACACGTCACCAAATCTACCAATCACGTAATCAGAAAGTGTCCACGTGCTTTCATTTTGAGAAAAACGTTTAGTTTCGTATCTCAAAATAGATCGTTCGRYATCCGAAGGTTTAGGAATTACWTCTGCGCATGCGTCACTTGRTTGGTTCTTACTTTCGAAGTCAGTKGATGAAGAAGATGCAGATGATTGGCATAGACCGCTGGGTTGAATTTCCACGGGCTCAGGTGGATTTATGCACATGGGTATGAAGAACAGTGTGCACGTGCCGGTTGCCATAGCACCGCCGGCTACGAAGAATGCGTTCTCGTATGACCCTGACATTTCAAAGATTATACCTGGAGATATGTATAAAATAGAAAAAATAGGTTCAAAAGTTTATTTCCGCACAAAAAACGTGGACTTTAAATTACATGAATAATAACGAATATTGAGGATGCCAAAGAGAATGAAACGATATAATGCAAACGTCCTTTAAATCTTTTGTACCCAAGGTAGAACCGTATTATTTAATTCATCCCCTAATCAGCCCCACAATGCACTGCAATGCCAACTCAATCCGGTTCTTTCAACTACTTCAGAATGACTAAAARCGCGATAACACGGAGCAATATTCTTTGCAAGTTGTCTCGCAACGGCTTTGAGACACAAGTTGCAAGGAGTCATTGCAGCGTGTGACCTAAAGCGCAAATTCAAAAATGTTGCGAGAAAAGCTGCAGCAATCGTCGTAAAAAGTAGAATTCGTTTTTATACTTTTGGCAACGATTGCGTCTCCGTTTTAGACACTCTTGCAACTTGTTTGTAACGCTGTTGCGAGACAAGTTGCAAAGATAATTGTTCTGTATAATCTTGCCTTAATAGCGCAGCGCACTGATTCTAAAAATAGCTTAAAGATTCGGACAAACATTAGAGAGTTTTAGATTTACGTTYACGGCAAACGTGAAACGTCAGTTGACCTTTTGAAAATKATTTTAAATTACTGAAAAAGAATCGCAAAAAAGTCCAAGTAGTAGAAAAAGAAAAGAATATTTGCGCTTGGTGAGAAGGTTTGTAAAAGGTAAAGTAAAATACAGGAAAACTATGAAAACGTGCTCACGTTTGCCGTTTGCGGGGAGAAAAAAAAGTCAATCTAAAACTCTCTATTGTATTCTGTTTAACCGCTACGAGGATTATACGAACCGATTTTATTATTTTCACTTAAAGTTACAATAATAACCCATGTAAACTAAGATCAACTGCGATCGGCTGTGAAAATTATCTGCTGAAAGTAAACTTGTAAGTTTGTTTGTCCGAATTTCGCCTTTGTCTTCGTTTTTTTGACGTCACGGTTGCGCTGCGCTATTACTTCCGCTTTGACAATACCTGCTAGAGGGGGTCCAAATATCATTGGAATTGCAATAATCCCATACAGGTTTCCCAAAGCTTGAACTACTTTTGTTGGGCCCACGATGTCAGCGGTTGACACAGCAATAAGAAGAACGAAACAGCCGTCGAAGGATCCAAAGGCCACGACGTACAGGATGAGCCCCTCGTAYGTCTTGGCCAGCGGACACAAGGTTGTGGTAACCGCCATCATGAGAAAACAAATCTAAAACACACACATAGGAGAAAGCTAATTCTTAAGGGGRAAAAAATATACATTTTTAGCTTTGAAAATTCCTTAAACAGTCTGTCGGCATTCGTACATACCTGCAAAACATAGAATCGATTTATTCTCGGGTGATTAAGAAAAATCCCGAACAAAACTCGGGAGAYTGTCGACGAAATCGATAAGTATCCGATGAGTAACGCGGCAAGGTTCGGCTCGATGTTCAGGTTGATTGCATGATTTGGCTGGAAAAATAAAATAACATAAAAGTTACTGTAAATAAAATGTGAAAATAAAATGAGAAAATCAACTCACCAAATGAATGAAAGGAACGAAATATCCTACAAACAAGAACGACATAGACACGACCCAGAAAACAAACGCTTTATCCTTCCACACGCTCAAGTCTATAAACTTTCTCGGTTCGTCGTGTTCTTTGGGTATTTCCTTGTGGGGTGACGTCGCAGGGCGATAAAGAAGAGAGGATATAAATAAGAGTACTGTCGAGCCACTTAGAATCCGCAGTAACACTCTCCATCCGTATCTTGTGATTATAAGTTGGTATAACGGACCAATGGCAAGGGTTCCTAGACCGCTGCCTGCTGTGACGATCCCATTGGCTGTTGATAAATGTCTGTGAAAGTATTGACCTGGAAATACAAAGAGTATCATTTTTTTGTGGCTACTGCTTTATAATAGATCGCGTAGTCACTATGACATGGTGCAGTTTTTGTATGACTGTGAAAAGTTCACGGCACGAACACGGTCGTGACACAGCAAGAGATACGCCAGACAAATCACATTGCACGAGAATTTACTCTCCATCCAATCAAATACCCGGAACATGGCATAAACACGGCGCGGACACGGTCACTTCAAGATCACGGCACTTTTAGACCAATCATATTGCGCGTGAAAAAAAAATCAGCCAATTAAAATTCTAGAAAGTATCACGTCCACGGCACGTCACGCTTACGGCACTGAGCTTTTCACAGTCATACGAAAACTGCACTAGTATTSTGAATTCTGTAGCACTACACATCTCGGAAAATAAATAAACTTGGGAACCAAATATTGCTCAAATACACAAATCTCGTAATACCGTGCAAGGTCGTGCTAGTTAAATTAAAGTAAGTAAAATTTATTTTCAGACCATTACCAATACCTTATGTACTATTCATCACAACTGGTTTTTTCTAAACGGTGAAATAAAAGGTTTTGTAAGATTTTTTAAACCCTTTTTTAATTCATCTCAAATTTAGTGGCGGATCTAGGGGTGGGTTTGGGGGTTGCAACCCCCCCTATGAGAGCTATCGTGATTTATAAATCGTGATTTATTCATGACAACACCAACAGCATCGTGAGTTTTATCAAAACAGGGGTGCCGAACACATTTCACTCGCTTTCCCTTTTTTTTTTTGCTATACGCCGTGTGTGGGACCTGAAACAACCATGCTCGTCTGCGGCAATAATCATTATCATAAGATCTACTTCCGTTTGGGAACCCTGTGCTACTTTCCCGCCAAACGAGTACCTCAATCAATCACCCCCCCCCCCCCCCCCCTTTGAAAAAATCCTGGATCCGCCCATGATATTGTAGCATTTTCGCTATCCCAAAAATGGATTTTTTCTTTTCTTTCTTGTTTTGCTTCTGCAAATTCTAGGTTGGTTATTAATAATTCACCTTAATTTTTTTTTTTCAGGTTTCTGGAAATCCTAGAAATGTTATACCACATCTCAAGACGGCTGAATGTAGTTCAGCCCTGAATTGATCTAGCTCTTTAAAGTTAATTTGGAAACATATGTTTTTAGAATATTTACTTTTCGATTTATTAAACTAGGACCATACTTCCAGACATCGAGTGCTGAACCGTCGTATGGCAGCGCGAAGCATTTACGGCTACGCCGGAGATTTCGACCCCGACACCGCTATCCGGAGATTTACAGACTGATCAGGAAGCTCGGCCGAAGCCTAAGGGAGAGGTTAGTCGGCCCCTAGACCGTAGATGATTAACCCCTTGCTATGACCAGCATACTCAATTTTTTYAATGTGACGCTGAAGGCTTTGAGCGCATACTCATTTTTTTCCATGTGGGATGCGTTCCAATATATTGGTGGGAGTAAACGGAACGTGCATCATAGTAAATTTTCGTTACTCCCCAAAGWCGCAAGGCATTATGGGGATGAAAGTAGAGAATGAGAAAATCGTTTGGTTCATACTTACTTAGGATCATCATTGTCGGTCCATAGTTCATACTAGAGCCCAGTCCCCATATAAGACTATACGTCACATAGATGACGTAAATGCTGTTCGAGAATGACGTCAATAGAAGTCCCAGGGCTGATATGACTCCGCCTACTGCTCCAACTAAACGACAGCTGTAGCGAAGGGCAAGACCGCTGATCAGGGGACCGCAAAGAAAGTTCATACCAAACGCGATGGAGCCGATCCATGCTGTTGAGAGTTTAATAAAATTCTTACAATAGACTACATTCGAGTTCTCTTATTTACTCAAGGCTATAACCTCGATTGTAATTGTGTAGAATATTCATGTATTCTAGTGAAGGTCCGTGCAAAGTGTTTGTATTGTTGAAGTCGTGCATTCTTTATTTTACCGTTGGTATTTGTGAACATTCGGCCGCTGAAATAAGGCTAACCCTTAGTAAATGATTCTGTTATTTATCAAGGAAAACAGCGGTAATTTCGAACTGGAAAAKGTTCTATTGTAATAATTTAATCGTTGAGTATCGTAAGGGAGGGGAGGGAGGGGAGCGAGGGGAGGGAGGGAAGGGCACAGTCAAATAATTCGTTAGACTACGCACATGGGAACGATTTATTTAATTGAYGGTAATGTATGACCTCCTTACCTTGGGCGTAATTTTCCCCCATTTGAGACCACGTATCATTCCCTAGAGTATTATTTCTTTGTTTAAAAAGACACATGAATGTGGATACAACACGAACGAAGCCAATACCATTCTTAGTAGAATAACCTGCGAAATTGGCGGGAAATTACGCTAACAATCGAGCGCGCAAAGCGCTTGTCCCCCTCTCTCTTCCCCTCCCTACACCCCWCTTGCACTTAATTTTCAAAGCAGTTTTTCTGGGGGTAAGGGAGGGGGTATTTCTGACACCCCTAATCACCTTTCAGTCGGAAATAAAAACCGGAAGTGAATGACTTWTTCCGATTTCAATGTCAAAGAAACTTGACCTTTTCATTCTCAAGTAAATTTTTAAGAGCGTTTATTATTTCAATGATAATTTGCAGTAAACTTGATATTCGAATATTTAGCAAACATGATAGCTCATAGCTTGCTAGATTATGAACATTTACTAATGAGAGACCAATTTATATAAAAAATAATTCATTTACGATGTGTGCCTGCAAGCAAAGTAGATTCAAATTAGAACAGAAAATTCAAATAACCGAAGAAAGAGCTTCGAAGCGCAGACCTGAGGCTGGAGAAACACTACTTTATATTTATAATCAAAAAATATAATTTACAATTRAAAAAAAAAACCAACAGCATTAAAAAAACAAAAGATAATTACATATAATATACACCTAGTTGCAAGAAGGTTTTTATACAAGAATAGAACATTAGTAATTTAGTGAGAAAGGAATACATTAAAAGACAAAAGAAAAAGTTCAGCTTCAGTGATCTTCTTTCGTTTTTTAATATAATTCCTATTCCACTAAATCACTAATGTTCTATTTTCGTATGTCAACGTTCTTGCAAGTAGGTGTATATATCTAAGGTAAATTGATGGATTCTAGTAGGGAGAATTAGAAACTAATCAGCTCAARGGCTATATAAAACAGTGCAAAGATTATCGGCAATATCTTTGAAATAAAAATACTATTCTAAGCTATTTCAAAAAAACATTTTCCCCCCAAATCGGTCAAAAATATATTTGTGTTCTGATGAGAATCAGAAAAGAAGCTGAAGTTTGGTAACATCTTGGCAATCGCGCTAACGTTATGAAAATAATGAAAAAACTATATACTAAGAACGTTTTTAAACAGTTTAGTGTACGTACAAACCTGTGTCCGAAGCTTCTGACTTTAGTTCCATCATTAAATGCGTGAATAATATTCCAAAGGAATTGTGAATTCCAAGRATTACGAATTGTACAACAAATCCTGCACAACATACGATCCAGCCATATCCCCCGTCAGGAATAGTTGATCCATTAGTAACTACACAATGCTTTCTAACAGATTTAGTCGAGTTTTCTTCGTTTAAAGTTTGTTTTGACCTCTGCATTGGCCTGATTATAAAGATAACTCCAAATGTAGATTTTTTGATAAAATTTTGGGTGTGTTTTAAGTAAAGGTTTAAAAATTAGAGCGATGCTTTCTTTGAGTCGGGTCGGGTGCAGATGTAAAAAGATCTCTCTCAGAGTTAACCTTGGCTTCGTAATCTTAATATGGAATTATGCATCATTAGTGATGAATTAGTAAAGAAATTCGATCCTTCGTCGCCTGAAAGTGAAGTGATATGTACAAAGGTTCAAGGAGAAGGTGCGAGCCTAAGGGGAGGCTGTTGAAAAATCGCCGGCATTGATGGAAAACATTTGACTAGCTAGGAGCACTTTGCACTGTTAAGAGAACGAGAAAGGCTCGAAAAGGAGTGTGTAAAGAAATGAAGGAACGTACGAACCAAGCAACTGAAGGCCCCCAACCCCCGCGCCAGAGAACCGTTTCACAGGCTAGCAAGGAGGCAAGAAGAAGGAGGGAAAAAGGGAAGGAAGGAATGAAGGAAGGAAGCAAGGAGGGAACAGCACAGGGTGCACATGCACCCCCCTCCCCCCCATAAAAGCTTGACGTCCGTTCATCTATCTCAGCTCCTTTTGCTTTAAAATTGCATGTAAATGTTTTTGATTAAAATGAAGACCACTTTCCATCTGCATATTGTAGCATTTTCAAGATTCAAGAATCACTCACCCATATTTCCCTTGGTTTTTTTTCCTGGTTCTGTTTTTTCATTGGTTACCTTTTCTTGGGGGGGGGGGGGGGGGG